TCTCTCTCTCTCTCTTTCTCTCTCTCTCTCTCTCTCTCTCTCTCTCTCTCTCTCTCTCTCTCTCTGCCTGTCAGTTTCACTTCCCGCAGCATCCCCACCCTTTTCGCCTGTCACCTGCCTTCTTTGCCTGATGGCACATCCCTCATCCTCCAGCCTGCCTGTGTCCCCCTCCCACATACATCATCTCTGTCCCATTCTCTACCCACCCCTCAGCCTGTCTTCAGCCTATTCCCGTCCCTCTCCCCTCTCCAGCCTGACAGCCCTTTGCTTGTGGGCCCTGGCGCTCTCCCTCCTTCCTGGGGCCCTGGGAAGAGCACTGGCTTGGGAACCAGGAAGCCTCGGTCCCAGATCTCGAACTTGCTCTGTGACCTTGAGCAAGGCAGCTTACCTTTCCGGGCCTCCATGTCTTGGTTACTAAATTCCTGTAGTCCTGACATCTCGGAAATATTCTAATTAACCTCCCTAGTTGGCCTCCACAACCACACTAAGCCCCGGAACACGAGGGTTTGGTGGCACTGCAGGCCTCGGTCACCGGGCCTGACGGTGTGACCTCGGGCAAATCCCTGCCTTTGTGAGCCCTGACTTCCTTTTCTCTAGAGTGGGGACAACAGATACACCTTTTCATGGGGTTGTTGTAAAGGGTAAATGTGACAGCCAATTTTACTGAATGCTTGCTCTATAGCAGGCACTGTTACAAGGACGTTGCATGTTTCACTTCCTCATAGCCTCAGTTACTTCCAGTCAGCCCCTTTTTACAGCCACTGACACTAAGGCACAAAGATAATAAACATTACGGCTAATACTCACGTAGTATTTATCAAGTGCCCTAAGTGCTCTATGCACTTAAAGTCATTGATTCCTTGTACGTCTTTATTCTTGCCACGTTACAGATGGGGAAATGGAGGTGCAGGGAAGTTAGGTGACTTGTCCCGAGTTACACAGCATGCAGATACCTGGGGTTTGAACCCAGATAGTCTGTGTGTTCAGCTACTACATTGCAGAAGCATCTCTGTGAAGTAAATAGAGCAGATCTGGGCATGTGGCGAGCACCTGGCAAATGTTGGTGCTCACTCCCTGTCTTTTTCACTTGGCCCATGTACAGTGGGAAGAGGTGAGTGGCTACGACGAGGCCATGAACCCCATCCGCACGTACCAGGTGTGTAACGTGCGCGAGTCAAGCCAGAACAACTGGCTCCGCACAGGGTTCATCTGGCGGCGAGATGTGCAGCGGGTCTACGTAGAGCTCAAGTTCACTGTGCGCGACTGCAATAGCATCCCCAACATCCCCGGCTCCTGCAAGGAGACCTTCAACCTTTTCTACTACGAGGCTGACAGCGATGTGGCCTCGGCCTCCTCCCCCTTCTGGATGGAGAATCCCTACGTAAAGGTGGACACCATCGCGCCCGATGAGAGCTTCTCGAGGCTCGATGCCGGCCGCGTCAACACCAAGGTGCGCAGCTTTGGGCCGCTGTCCAAGGCCGGCTTCTACTTGGCCTTCCAGGACCAGGGTGCCTGCATGTCACTCATCTCCGTGCGTGCCTTCTATAAGAAGTGTGCATCCACCACTGCAGGCTTCGCCCTCTTCCCAGAGACCCTCACTGGGGCCGAGCCCACCTCACTGGTCATTGCCCCTGGCACCTGTATCGCTAACGCTGTAGAGGTGTCGGTGCCCCTCAAGCTCTACTGCAACGGTGACGGGGAGTGGATGGTGCCTGTGGGCGCCTGCACCTGTGCCACCGGCCATGAGCCAGCTGCCAAGGAGTCCCAGTGCCGTCGTGAGTGGGGACTGGCCTGGGGGGCAGAGGGAGGGAAGGGCTTGCGCCACAGCTGCCTATTGCCCCCTGCCCACTGCTTCCTACCTGCCAGGCAAGGTAGTCTGGTGTCAGGTCTGAGGTGGGGGAGGAAAGGGAAGAGGGGTATCGGGTGCAGAGAATGTGCTGCAAGGAGGGAGCCGAGAGAAGATGGGGAGAGGTACCAGGATAAAAAGAAAAAAATGAAACTAGAGAGGAGCGGAGACAGGAAAAATCTTGACAAAGAGGCCCCTGGAGAACCTGGTCAGAGACTCGGGAGGCCAGCAAAGATGCCTGTTTGTCCCACCCCAAGGGTACGCCTCACCCCAGAAATACAGCTGTGGTGACAGGGACTGTGGCACCACGTGCTTGGCCCTTTCACCTTGGGGGTCTTATCTGCTCCTTGAAAGGTGGTCCTTAGGCACAGTGCCCTGGGACCCAGCCCCTGAAGCCTGAATCCTGCCTCTGCCCTGTGAGACCTTGGGCAAATTGCTTAACTCATGAACCTGGGTTTCCGCATGTGCAGAACAGGGACAGTAATGATTTCTTTATGGAGGCGGAGTGGGGCTTACCTGAGTAGGTGCCTGTGGAGCCTTGGAGCCGTGCCTGGCACGTGGCGAGCACAAATGCTGTGGGAGTTCACTTGACTCTCAGGAGCTTGTCTCTGGTGGCTTGCAGTGTGCTCCTAAGACCTGACAGTGTACAGGACTTCTTATTTGAGTCTCGCCACAACCTTTTGAGGCCGATTCCAGTTATGTCCCCTATTTTGCTAATAAGGAAACTGAGTGTCCGAGAGATTCTGCACTCAAGGCCTCATAGATGGGATTGTGGGTGCTGGGCCTACAGCCTTGTCCAGCGCGTTACCACGCAGGACAAGGTGCCCGGGCCTGTCTTCTGTCCCCTTTGCCCGATTCTGTTGAGGGAAGGGAGCTGGCCCTATGCATAGCCCTAAGTTGAGGGGCTGGCTGCCCCAACCTGCCTGTGAGGCCAGTGTTGGGCGTTGTCCTGAGAAGGTGAACAGTGCCTTGCCAGGCCCCTCTCACTTTTCTAAGGGAGCCTGCCCCAGACTTCCTCTTCCTAAGTGGAGAAAGCGGGTGGGGGTGATGAGCCTGACAGCCTGGAGAGGGGCTAACACTCCGCAGGTCCCTGGCAGGAAATGCACACTGGTTCCCATAGCAACCAGGCTGGCCTGGCCTCTGCCCCCTCCCCCACTGACTCAAAAGAGCTTGGATGGAATATCACCTTAGTGAGGGGAGATTAAACCCCAGAGAGAGGCATAGCCCCAACCCTGGGCATTCCACACGCTGGATGACCTCCCCAGAGGCAGTATTTGTGGAGAGGGTGGCCACCTGCTTTAGTGTGTCCAGGGCATTCCTAGTTTATGCCCATAGTCCTAACATGATTATTACTAACGACCCCTTTCACTCTGGAAATATTCCAGTTTGAATAATGAATTATATGGCCATCATAGATCAGGCAGAGCCCAGGTCCCGGGCCCAAGCGCAGGTGGTAGATAGCAGGAGAGGCAGCAGAGAGGGGTGTTCAGGCATCCAGCTCTGGGCTCTCTGGAGCCTGGGGTTCCCCTTGGGGATGCTTTGAGGCCTCTGAACTCCAGGTGACCCCAGCTTTCAGGCCTGCTTTTTTTCTCTCCTTTCCTCACCCCACTTATGCCCCCAGCCCTGCCCAAGGGCAGAAAGAAGCTGCTGCCCTGCTCCTGGTGGGTGGGGAGAGAAGTTGGTTGTGAAGCTCAGAGGCCCCCATCTCCAGTCTGTCCTGGAGTGGCCTTGAGGGTCCCAGGGTTTCCCTCGGGCTTCAGAGAGGGGTGAGGCATCCCAGTGGAGCCAAGGGTGCTGCCAGTTTGCGATCGGGCTCTCCCCATCTTCCGCCTCTTCCTCTTCTCACTTCCCTGTCTCTACAAGCCCAGGCTGTCCAGGCTGAAGTCTTCATCATTGGGGCACCAGGTTGGGGGCAGGGTCAGGGAGGAATTCGCTGACGTGGGGTTTCCACGGGGAAAAAGGGCCTTTTGTAGCTGCAGGTGGAGTTGGGCAATACCAGCGTGGCCCCCACAGCCTAGAAGGTGGAGGGGCCAAGACCTGTGCTGGGGAAGGGCCAGATTCTCACGGGGATGTGGAGGGTTGGTGTCTGCAGGGAAGGGAGCTGAGCACGCCCTTCTTCTTCTCCCCCACAGCCTGTCCCCCTGGGAGCTTCAAGGCGAAGCAGGGAGAGGGGCCCTGTCTCCCCTGCCCCCCCAACAGCCGCACCACCTCGCCAGCCGCCAGCATCTGCACCTGCCACAATAACTTCTACCGTGCAGATTCGGACTCTGCAGACAGTGCCTGTACCAGTGAGTGAACGTGCCTCCCCCACAGGCCCTGGCTCCAGGACTTGCCTCTGCCGGCCGGCCATTGGGGGGGCCTAAACGGTCACTATGAATATCTCCATTTTCCATATGGGAAAACTGAGGCTCAGCTAGGAAGTGACTGGTCCTTCCACCAATGTTTAATGAGCACCTACTAGCTGTTGAACATCAGGATCTGGCTGGGCCTTCTAGTCCATCTTCCTCTGTGCAGAACCGTGGCTTTCTTGGCCCAGCTCTAACCCTAGAGCGGTCCTCACATCCATAGAATCGCCTCTCTCGCTGCTCTGGCCTTTGGTATGCCAGGCATTGTGCCAGGCACCAGAGATGTGGAAGAGAATAAGATACAGTCACTGCCCAAAAGGCAACCTGGTGGGAGAAACAGATATGAAGACAGATAATGACCATATAATGTGCTAAGTGCTAGGCTGGAGGGACGCCCAGGAATTGTGTTGTGGGAGTGCAGAGGACAGGGAGAGGATGCATTAGGAAGGCTTCGAAGAGGAGGTGACATCTCAAGTTGAGCCTTGACGGCTAACCAGGAGTCTGTCCAATGAAGAAGTGTATGTAGGAAAGGTATCTGCTTATTAAAACAGAGGCCAAGACCAGGAGGGAAAAGCAGGTTGGAGTGTGCAGGAACTCTGTGCAGAAGGATGGTCCTCGGCCCCTTAGCTCACTGCCTTCTCCCTCCTCCTCCTCTGCAGCTGTGCCATCCCCACCTCGGGGTGTGATCTCCAATGTGAATGAGACCTCGCTGATCCTCGAGTGGAGCGAGCCCCGGGACCTGGGTGGCCGGGACGACCTCCTGTACAATGTCATCTGCAAGAAGTGCCATGGGGTCCCTGGGCCCGGGGGTGCCTCGGCCTGCTCACGCTGTGACGACAACGTAGAGTTTGTGCCTCGGCAGCTGGGCCTGACAGAGCGCCAGGTCCACATCAGCCACCTGTTGGCCCACACACGCTACACCTTTGAGGTGCAGGCAGTCAACGGTGTCTCGGGCAAGAGCCCTCTGCCGCCCCGCTACGCGGCTGTGAATATCACCACCAACCAGGCTGGTGAGGAGGGGACTCAGGAGGGTCGGGCCTGGGCCATCTTCCCCAGACAGAGTCGAGGTTTCTGAGGGCCTGCCAATGGACCACCAGGGGGCCCATGGGACCTGGGTCCTTGGAGGAACCGGTGGTGAGCCCCCACTCTTCCCCTAGCCCCGTCTGAAGTGCCTACACTCCACCTGCACAGCAGCTCAGGCAGCAGCCTGACACTGTCCTGGGCCCCCCCCGAGCGGCCCAACGGCGTCATCCTGGACTATGAGATGAAGTACTTTGAGAAGGTCAGAGCCTCAAGGGGCAGGAGGAGGCCTTGGGACAAGAAGATTACACCCAGAGAGTGTTAGGACCCTTGGGAGCAAGGCCTTGGGTCCTGGGGAGGTGGGGGAGGGTCATGGGG